ATTTGCTAACAAAACACTGCTGTAGTAGTTATATGGAAATACTTCTTTCGGTCCTGTTTGTAAGTTAAACATAGCAGGAAATAGTTTAAGCTTCTTATTTATAACACTGTAAGAGTCTTTTATAATAATTGCCCGTCCTTTATATAAACCAGTTATTTGCATTGTTCGTGAACCTTTAATGATGGGAGTTCCTTTCACTTCTGTCATGTGTCTTAAGATGAAGTTTATGTCATAACTGAGGTTATGGAAATATATTAAACTCTTGTCAGGAAGTCTTTCCAAAAATTCTGTTGCACAGTTTTGACCCCAAATGCTTTCACTCACTGAACCATCTTCACTGTCATAACAGATGTTAAAAGCTTTATGAAAGCCGTCTGTGCTACACTCAAAGTCAGCAAAGAAAACGTGCTCAGGAATGAATTTACATTTTTTATTTACTTCTTTTGACTCTGCTTTCTTCTTCAGTTGTACACAATACTTTGGAGCATATGTCAAATCTTTAAATGGTGCAAGGTTCTGTTTATATAAGTCAGTAGTATATGTGAAAAGTTCTCCATAAGAAATAGGTTCGAAATATTTGCACTCCCACAATGTTTTCATAACATCCCATAACGGTGTTGTTCTATCATAACGAACTACATATTTTCTTCTCTCTTTGTATAAATCTTCATCTGTTTCTCAATGTTCATTCCACCACAAGCTTTGAGAATTTCTATATAGTTCGAATGAAATATGTTGTCATTGGTAATCTTTCATTTAGCATGTAGTGGTCTTCAACAAGAAGTAAGTCAATAGTTCTAACAGTTTCACATTCTTTTGGTATGTATATTATTCTTTATGTCTTGAGTTTGAAATAACCAATGGTAACATTAAATGCTATACCTGTTGCGTCAGAAATTTCTTGTACTTTACTTTGAGGAAAGTCTCTAACACGAATGACTTCTCTCATGTGGTCAATAGTTTCTTCATTTACTCCAGCCTGAATGCAAGCATAAACGAAACAATTGTCCTCTGTCATAAGTGTTGCAGTTCTTTTGTTCAGTTCATTGAAGATTTGGTAGCGTTCAAGATTTATAGGTAATGTGCAAAGATACTTCCAGAACTGACCGCTTCTCTTCTTATAAAACTTCTTTTCACCATTTCTTTCCAAAGCTTTCTATAAGTGCTGTTTTCCTGTTTGCTTAAGCTTCCAAAATGGCTTTCTGGTCATTTGTCAGTGTGCTTTCATCTCTATATGGTCTCTTTTTTGGTTTGCCTTTCTTTACATCTGACATCGTTAAGCCTTCATATTCTGTTAAATCATACATCTTTATTTCGGTAAGATTCTTTATGTTTGTCAAGAAGAAGTCATAGTGCATTTCAACAATACCTGCAGCATTTGCTTCTATCTCTGATATAAAGTTCTCCTTCAAGAGCTGATGTAGTAATGTTCCAATATTATTGAGGTTTAACGTAGAACATTCATACTTTCCACCAAGTTTATAACATACCATCCATCTCTGTTGGAGTTTATTTTAATTTTCTCTAAGAGTCTCATGAAAACCTTACCGAAATGTTTGTGTAAGTAGTCTCTGTTTGGTTCATCTAAAGCTTCGATGTTAAAGTCAATGAGTCTATTGCCTGACTTCACATTTCTCTTCCTATTCTCTTCATCTTTCTTTAACCATCTCTCACCTTCTTTTGGTTTGTCGTCAATGGAACGAATGACATCGTTAGCTTTGCGAACTTGTTCTATAGCACTTTTAAACATCTCTCTTCTCTGTTGTTTCAGTGTGTCGTCTTTCTTCTTGTTTCACCAACGTTTGCATTTGTTATGTCAAACATCTCTCTTCTTACTTCATGAGGTACTGAACGTCTATGATATAAGTCAATAGCAACGTCATTTAAAGGAAATGCTATTGCATGGACTTCGTCCTCGCCGCGTTGCGGCTTTATGAACTCATGAATTCTATCATAACTTATTGCACCATTATAGTCTTTAATGAAGTCAGCGAGTGCTTTTTTGTTTGTTGCGTAATGCTTTGCAACATCTATATTAGCTTCTGTAAGAAGTTGTTTTATTTCCGAGTGTTCTAACTTAGACAACTTCCGATACATCTTTAGTAGGAAATAAAAAAAATATTTTGAAAAAATTAGATTAGATTTTTTTTAAGTTATTTTTCAAAATAATTTAATATTTTTATTTTAATGAAACACATGCAAGATTGCAAGTTCTTTTCATACAATGCTCTCGCTACTGCCATCAAGAATGAGTTCAATAATGCTTCAAACGTTAATGTTATCTTTAACAAGAAGTTTGTGAAAGAATCTAAGTTCGGTCAGTATGTCAGACCATTAGCTATCGTCATTGACCGCAAACGTTATACTTCACGAGAGTTAGCAGTAGTTTTGAAACAAAAGGGTTTCTTCGTGAATGTCAAAGATACTCATTATACTGTTATAAAGAACTCTAACATTGACTTCTTCAGTATTGCTATGAATCTTTCCGAACAGAAAGAATATAAGAAGGGTGAAACATCTGTGAAATATTATCCTTCATCTCTGAAGACAATAACGAACAAAGATGTTATACAAAAGTTCTTACCAAAGGTTGAAGAAGCTTCAATTGACATTGACGAAGAAAGTGAAATGGTTGAAGAAATTGACCCTGAAGCTATTTAACCAAAAATATATTTTTGGTGAAGAGGTGAGAATCTCACCTGTTTTTCACCTCATTCTCTCTTCGTTAATGTTGTCGTGACTTCTTCGTTAATGTTGTCGTGACTTCATTCTTCCTCTTTGAAGTTATCGAAATATTCTGTTATTTTTTCCTTCAGTAATGTTAAGTCTTCTTTGAAGGTAAGTATTGTGCAACCTTTGATGTCATAGTGTGTTTGAGGAAGAGTATTTTTGACAATTTCCTTTATTTGCTCATTCGGTGTCATTGAAATCGGTAAGTTTTCACGATAGAACCAGTTTTCTGTCAGATTTGTAAATCTTAGCAAGGTCATAAAAGCTTTTGTTGTTTCTTCTGACTAAATGCAACATAACCATATCTCTGTCTTCTTCATTTTCCATCTCTTCAGCGTAAATCATATACTTATAACTCTTTTCCTTTCCTTTTGGTACTGAACGTGGTATTCTTTTCTGTATGCTTTTGTCTTTGGATTCAATGACTTCATCTTTTGCTTGAAGTTTCTTTTCCATCTGTTCGCGTTCTGCTTTATATAGTTCATCTAACATCATGAAAATATAACAAGCATAACGAGGTGAAGCCCACATTGCTACAGCATTTACTAAAAGTCTATGAACATAATAACCTTTCAAACCAGGTGCCAAATTCTTGCGATTTTCGTACGGAATCTCTTCCCTCGGTTTTCCGAGGGAAGCAATCATATGAGGAAATTCTTCTAAAAGTTCTTTTGCCTGTTGGTTTTCAAACCAATGATATGCTTGCTTTGTAGAACGAAGAGCGTTCATTATACTTTGCATTTGGTACATGTCATCTTTGACAGAACGAATGAGTCTCAATTGTTTGTTATACTGTATGTATTCGTATTCTTCATTTATGACTTCATGAACGATAGCAGTTGTTGTGTTCTCTAATGTTGACATATCTGTCTTTACATACAGGATAAAAAAATAAATAAAATAAAAACTAACTTTATTTTTTTTGAGATAAACACTATTTCTTCACAACATTAAATTTTATCCTGTATGAAATGACTTTAAAAAGATTATTGACTGACTTCGAATACTATCTCATTGACGCACTGACAGACCCTCAAAACTGTGTTGAAAGTTCTTTAAGCTTTAAGATTGAAGGTACGACGCATTTTGTCTTCACTTACGTATTGAAAGAATATGACCGTTATCATAACGAAGTGAATCAAACACTAATAAAATTTGTAGATAAAAAATTGGTTAACAATGAATATTTTAAACGTGAAGACCCAAACACTGCTGGAGATGATGAAGAATACAGACAAGTTATTGAAAAAAATAACGCAAGATTAGATGCAATAGAAAAGAAGTTTAATGAATGTCTTACAAACACGTATGAATATCTTATGCAGTGGGAAGCCAGATGGAAATAAATTTACGTCAAATATGCAATTTATAAAATCTTATGTCGACAGGCTACGTAGCACAGTGGTCTAAGGTGGTGTTATGGAGGGGTCAGAGTCTGTGGTTCGAACCGCGACAGCGCCGTATTTTCTTATTTTCTTTATTTGTCTTGTTTGTCGTGAATAAAAAGTGTCATAAAAGTGCTCTATCTTCCACGGGAATAAATAAAAAATTTACTTTATTTCTTCTTTATTTCTTTGTTCCCGTGGAAGAAGGGTTTTGCTGTTTTTTCTCAGCCAAAATCAATGATTTTTTCATTTTTGGAATCCTTAGCGAATGAGGAATCTTTTCTCTCGTGGAAGCTTTAACCTAAAATATAATTTAGGTGAAGAGGTGAGATGTCACCTGTTTTCTCACCTAATTTCTCACCCTCAGTCCGCTAAGCGGCGAGACCCAAAGGGTCTTGAATTTTCATGAATTTCCTTAAGATAGAAAAATAACGTTAGTTTTATTTTTATTTATTTTTTTATTTTGTATGTAAAGATATGATTTCAACAATCGGCACAACAACAATTCAAGCCGCGAACGGCGGGACTCTGTCCACAACAACTTCACCAAACTCGTTAGTCATGAATCCAACATCTATGTTAGTAGAGATGAAAAACTTCATTCCTTCTTCATATACTTTCGAAACAAAAATCCAGAAGATAAAGCAAGAACTTTTAACAAGTAATTTAGACTGTAGTGCGAAAGATGAAACAAATGAACAGTATCTTTATGAAATGCAGGACATTATTGACCATTTACCTAAACTACCTGAAATTCAGCATCAAAAACTAACTATTCCTGAATTCGATGAAATAGAAGTGAAACCAACTGACTCAGTAGAAATAAAGAAGTTCATTCGAAAGGTAAACTATGAGTTTCTAGGATTTCATTGCAACCATAAGGTTATGGACAAAGATTGCGACATGGTATATAAGAATGTTTCTGACATATATAAATCCGGGGAGTTTAAGACCTACGATAACTTTGTTTCGTTAGTTGCTGAATGTGTATGGCAGATAAGAGATAAAGATAGAAGAGGTAAAATATGGAACGAACAGATAAGACCAACTGCTTTTGAGTTAAAGAAAACCATTGACGCCTTAGTTGTTTTAGCAGGTAAGGTTTCAGAATATAACGCAAAAATGAATCCGCAATGTTCTAAATGTAAAGCAGCAATTAGGAAATATAACTACTCCGTCAAAGAGATAGAAAGAATGCGAAACGACTATGCAGACTTAAAGAAAGAAGCAGAAAAGCCAGCAGAAGATAAAATGAACATGTTAGAATTTCTGAACAAAAACTATCCAACAGCAGAAGATTTCCTTCTATCTGACGTCAAGAAGAAATATAAAGAGACTTTCGGTATTGTTAAAACTTTTGACATACTGACAGAAGAAATAGAAGCTACGAAATTGTTTAGGATTTCAAATATACATCGTACAATTCATGTAAAACGCTTGTGAAAAACTGGGGTGAGAAAACAGGTGAGAAAACGGGTGACATCTCACCTCTTCACCTAAACATTATTTTTATTGAATTCAATAAAAATAAATGGTTCATTTACTCACAATATTTTTGTACAAAACGACCCCAAACTTTTAACTTCTTTTCTGCAGCTTCAAATGCTATCTTAGCGAGTTCATATTCTCTAAATTCTCTCTTTAAATCTTCTTGTTCCCATTGGTCTAGTTCGTATGGAGAATCTCTATAACCATAATATATCTCACGTTCATGTTCTAATTGTTTTTCGCACATTTTTCCAACTTCTTCTTCGAACAAAGGTTTAGCATTCTCCACTGTATCTTCGAGTTCTTCTTCATCTAACTTCTCATGAACTTTCTTGTCTATGGAGTCCATAATATCTTTGACATAAAATGCATACTTTACAGAGCACCATTCAGCAACAAAATGAACGAGGTCAGCATGTATGTAAATACCTTTGAATTCATTCATAACGCCCTTAGTAAGCTCATAAAATGCTTGTTTTGAGGTCGAGCCACTTTTGGCTCCACCGTATTCGTTCATCCAAAACTCAAGAATTTCCTGCATTTTAGTACTATTGAGAAATCTGTTTAAATGGTTTAACCTTCCCGCTTCTCTTGCCATCTTTGTTGCATTAATGTAACCATCCTTGTCTCTACGTAAGACTTCAATACCGTTATAAGTGCCTTTTGTGAATGTTTCACCATTAGATTTGTTAGTGAATGTTTTTGCTTCGACTGACATTATTGTCTTTACATACAAAATAAAAAAATAAATAAAAATAAAATTAGCGTTATTTTTTATTTCATAAGGAAATTCACGAAAATTCATGAGGTGAAAAAAGAGGTGAGAAAACGGGTGACATCTCACCTCTTCACCTATAATATATTTTGTCTGATTTACATCCAACGAAAAAGTTTAGAAGAATTTTCTTATTCTTTCTGGCATGTTTTTATCTTTCCAGTACTCCCGCTCTAATGGTCCCAGATGAGTTGGTTTAGATTCTCTCAAGTTCTTAGATGGTATAACATCTTCAACGCCTCCTTCATATCTTACTTTATAAGTGTCATCGTTTATGTTGTAGTCAAGTATTTCAATAACCACTCCTCGCTTTGCTTCGTCAATGGTTTCAGCAAGTTTGCCATTACTACTTTCGACTAATTTATGTCGAGGATAAAATGCTATGGAGTCGTCAGCAGCTTTTATAAGATATCCATTACCTTGCGTAGAGTCTACGATATAATAATTTCGACTTAACCTTAAACGTTTCTTTGTCAACGGTTTGTCGTCAAGAACTACACGAACTTTTGTACCAGGAATGAGGGTAAATTGTGTTGAATTTCTGATATTTTGTGTTTGACTTAGTTTCTTTTGTATATACTTTTCTTCTTGTTGTTGTGTCATTGAATTTGGTGTATGTCCTGTTGTAGAATGCGTTGAGGAATTGTAAACTTCGATGAAATGTTTCATTGTTTCTTCGGTAAAGTCTCGCTCTTGATTTAAATCTCTGAGAGTCCTTATGAAGCGGTTAATGATACCGAGTATGTTATGGTTATGGTCTTCAGTAGTGTAGTGAGTTATGTTATGCTTAATGAGAAATTCTGTGATTTCATTGCTGAGGTATGCACCGTCTTGGTCTGATGTTAAAATACTTGGGCTATGTTCTGCTACAAACTTTTGTAAAACTCTTAACACTTCATGAGTTCCTTTATTTCTCATTATATACGCAAAAGCTTTGCGAGTGTTAACATTAATGAAGATGAGGAATGGTTTATGTCCTCCTTTTCTGCTTTGAATGAGAGTGTCAAATTGGTATGCGTCAGGAGTGTTGGAGTAAATTGGTAAAAAGTAGTCGTAAGGATTTATTTTTGTTTGATGTACAACATTTTTGTCAAAGAACCTTTTCACTTCAGCTCTGTTAGTAAATCCCGAACTCTTTGCAGCTTCATTGAATTTCTTAAAAGACCTCCATGGATGTTGTTCGAATACTTCTTTCAAGCTCATTTATGTAAAGTTAAAGATTTTATTCTAGGCTCAAGCGCGTTCATTGAACTCTATACCATGCGAATACAGTCACAAATGGTGGTATAATCTGCACCCGAGCCTGTTGGATTTGTTGTGAAAGTATGTGAATGATTTCCTGCGGTTCCACAGAAAATACCTGCGCTTGAATCTACTGGGTCACTTGAAATATCATATCTATGCATTCCCTGTCTATCCGAACCTGCTGCAAGATTTGTATAACCTCTTTTTGTTATTGAATGTGAATGACTACCTGTTGTGTTTGTAGTTCCTGTATGAGTGTGCGGTGGAAGGTTTGCTTCAGTAATTTTCTTCGAACCTCCTGTTTGCTTTGAATATCTAGCACAGTATAAGAATTTATCTACAATCTGTTCCCACGTACCGAAACCCAGAACTGTTGCTGGATTTGTTGAGTTCATTGACGTATAAATAGAACCTATAGGATATAATGTTTGAAGTATTTCTGTCTTTAATGTTTGAAGCTCTGTTTTGTCTGCTTTCTTGTCATATAAATCTTGAGCAGTGAATTTAATATTATGTTCATCCTTCATGACATAAACATCTTTACATCTAATGTTTTTCATCGTCGTTATGTCGTCATCCGATGTTAAACCTTGTGGAAAGTTAGGAGGTTTACAATATAATGCATCCCCACCAGTTCCTTCAACCGTTCCTTCAATACTTTCTATACCAACAGTTGTGAAGAAATCATGTGTATGAGTCTTATTTGCTTTTTATCTAACATTGCTGGTAGTTCATGTGTTTCAAAGTTTCTGACATGACCTTCGATATTCATACATTTGTTATTTAAGGAGTTTAGTGTATCTTTTACGCTTGTACTTGGATTCTCTAAAGGTGCACTTGAACCAAGGGTATAGTTCAATATTATGTCGTCTGCTCTAACAGTAGTGAAGGATTTATGTGTATGGTTCTTGTCGGCTTTACTGTCTAAAGAAGTTTGAAGTTCATTTATATCGGAGATGTTGTGTTTATGAGATTTCAAAACTTTGTTCATTGCTTCGAGTTCAACTTTGTCAGCTTTACTTTTAATAGCATCTTCAAACGTTATTTTTGACTTAACTCTCAAAGTAAATCTTGGTTCAACTAATACACCGTTAACATTGAAAGTAGAGGCATAAATTTCACCGGTATAACTAAATGCTTCTTGTGCTTTACCTGTGTCATAATGTACAGTACAGCTTATGTCATAACCTTTAGCACGAATGTATTTATATCTTCTTTCATTAACATCTTCAGTGCTTATTTGTTCATTCTGTGTTAAATATCCATGGTAGTCCGTTATAATCTGTTCGTCTGAACTTATATAATGAACATGGTTTTTGTCTGCTTTTTCGGCTAATTTCTCATTAACATCATTCACTTCTAATTCAACTCTTCCGCCAGAACTCTTATTATCATTAATCTTTTTCATTAATTCGGTAATTACGTCATAAAGACTATATTCTGTTTTCGGTTTTGTAAATAATGAGTCAAAATTTCTTTTCATCATTACATCGCTGACATTAATGATATCACCAATTCCTTTTTCATTTATTCTCTTCATTAATTCTGCAATAATGACGAATATATAATCTGTTAATTTATTCTCTTCATCGAGGGTTATAGAATGTTTGAAATCGAATCATTAACTCCTCTAAATAAATCAATAACTTCAGGATACACGTTTTTAATGTCTCGAATAACCCGACCAGTATCCTCGCCACTATGTGGCTCTGAGCCCGTTGGGCTCTGTTGTTCATGTTCTTCGTTCCCGTCGTTACGTGGTTTTATATCTCTAACCATCATCAACGCAGCCATAACCGGAGGGTTTGTTGCTACCTGTTCGAAAATCCGTCCGTTATGTATGGTATATCTAAATAATTTCTTTGTGTTTGTTAAAACATTTGAAACAAGTCTTTTAAAACCATCTACAAAATTTCCTGTTTCACCTAATGTTCTTGCAGCATTTACAAGCTCACCCATTCCCGCTTTTGACCCCAAAAACGTCCATATTGCATTTATTTCACTCTGTATAGTTGTCCATTCAGCGAAACTAACACCCGCATTCGCTAAGCTGAAAATGAAACTCAGTGGATCGAACTTAATTCCACCTTCTTTTTCAATTTCAACGAACTCACTAACATGAGATTTTAAATATTCTTTCGTTAAAATTGTTTTCCCCGATGTTATGTCATTAACGAAACTATCACCGTCAAAAGTTAACGAATTCAATTTCGTCGTTGATGCTTTTATTTCATACACCGCTTTATCATAGTTTTTGGCTCACCTTCTTTAGAAGCATATGAAACATTAATGAATGAATTATATGTATTCGTGAATGAGTTAAAATCAATGATTTTCATTAATGACGCCTTTAATGATTCATTAACTGTTGAATCCCTTAAAACAATTACTGAACTGTCGTTAATGAAAGGTACCCTGCAAACCGTCGAGTTTGGATCAAATGCTGTAGTTGGTGCAGGAATATTAATGATATAAGTCATTAAATCATTAAGTGACGTAAATAATGTTGTCGTTTTTGATTTAATTTCTTTAGCATCTGTTATATACGGTAATTTTATTTCTGTAGTTTCTGAATTAAAGATATTCGCTAAAATGTTTTGTAAACTGTTTTGAACAGCAGTATAAACCGTTGAATTCGGAACTCTTACGATTTCACCGTCCTTAATAAAAGGCATTGCACATGGTGTAGTGCTTGGGTCAAATCTTTCGGGATTATAATTCAACATATATTCTAATGCTTCATATACAGACTTATATACTGTTGTGTCGTTCTTCATGACAACTTCACCATTTACAATGAATGGCATTGTACATGGAGTTAAAATAGGGTCAAACTTTTCATAGTCTTTCCATGTTATGTATTTCTCGGTATTTCCATCAGAAATAACAATATATTTGTCAGTAAGTGTGAGAGAGTATTGACCAAAATATAAACGTTTAGCTCTGTCAGTTTCATACGCATATGCAGCAATAGTCATATTTTAATGAGAATAAAATGTTGTTCTATTTGCAAAGTACAGACCCAAACGAATACGGGACAGTAAAGCTACAAACAAACTTAGGTCTTCAGAATGAAGCGCTTGCTTTCAGAGTTGTTGACTTCAATACTATCGCTTCATTCGTTATAACAGATGAAACAGATTTCATGGAGATTGAAATAGATGGAAAGAAGCATGAAATAAGATTTCACAATAATGTAGAATATAAGATGGAAACATTAGCTGGAGTGTTAAATGCGCTCATAAATACTACAATAAACAAGGATAACGAAGAAAACTTAATGAATGTTAAACTTATTGCAGGAGTTTTGAAGTTCAGTTATGCGAAGGAGTTTAAGATAACACGAATGAGTCATAGAGTTCAATTGCTTCTGGGAGCATACCATATGACATTTCCTTTGAAAAGTATTGACAAAACGATTGAGATGAAATCTGTTCCATACGTATGTTATGGCAATTGTTTATACATTGAGTCAAAAATAGCTAATGTCACAGGTATTTCAGGAGTTAATAGTAAAGGTTCAGTAGAATATAAGTCTTTCTGTTATGCAGTCAATTCAATGTTCATTCCAAACGTTCCTGTCATAGCAACTCATTTAGGTAAATGGATTCGCATTAGTCCTCATAATTTGAAAGACATGCAATTCAGACTTGTTGACTTTCAAGGCGAGCCTGTAGAACTGAAGGCACCAGTGCGAATGACTGTTGAAGTTGACTTTTTAGAAAATATTAAATGCAACAGCTTACAAGAGAACTCAGAGATAAAAATATAAAGTATGAATGTTATGTATTAGGTCATGAACTTTGGTTGTTGCTGTTTGATGAAACAAATGAGTTAGTTATGTCAGTCAAGAGAACAGAAAAAGGCGTCAAAGGCGCCGAGCGCAAAGCGCTATATTGTGTTAGTGAAAACTGCACCAAGTCAATAAGATTAGGTTTGCATTATGAAGATGAGTTCGATACTGTTGAAGAAGTTTTGGATAGATATTACAAATTGCTTTAATTTACTAAAACATATTTCAAGCAAAGTTTATATTCTGTTGAAAGTTTTGTATACTCGTTCGAATATTTATACTTAAACTCAACTCCTGTAGTTCCTGGTGTTTCAATGATGCGGATGTTACCTATTTTCATGAATGGTGGAGTTTGACCACAGCATTCGATTTCAGGGTCGAGATAGTCAATGACACATTGTTTCCCTGTTATTCGTGAGATAACATTTTCAAGGTCCTCCTTTGTTAGAATTATTTGGTTCTTGCTTATAAGATTTGTCAAAAGCTTCTTATCGTCTTTGAGTAAAATTGTTTGGTATAACTGAAGAAGGTAATGGTCTACGTTATCTGAAGGATTTGTTTGAACATTTGTGTAAGGATTGTCGTTGGCTTCTCTTGAAAGAATTTGGTCCAGTGGTGGATACTCTAACTTAACATCTGATGTAGCGTTAGCGTTTGAAGCTGTGTTTAAATTCACGGATTTCAGCTCTGGTTCTTTTTCTTTCAAACACTCTGAACTATAGTTCTTTATGACAATATTGTTTGTCGTTCGTGAGTCAACATTTGATGTTGGTTCAATTGGAACATTAACGGCACCAGCTAAGATGGATTTGCTTCTCATTTCATATAGAATAAAAACCTTTTATATGTATGAAATGAACAATATACTCGACAAGGGTTTGAATGTAAAGCTAACGAATGAAAAATTGTTGAATTCACTGAGACAGGAGCTGTGTATAAAGATGTAGAACTACTGAACAAAAGAGCTAAGGGAAGAAGCAGGAACATGAACAAAGGGTGGAAGCCTATAAAAATTTATGTCAATGATGGCTCAGGAGGTTCAAACATAAAGTATGCAGAAAGTTATAGAGTTTATGCGCTAAAAGGTGAAAAGCCTTCATTTAAGAACAGCTATTCTAACGCATATCCTCAAAAGTTAACGGATGGGGAAGTGGATGATATGAATGACAGCAAAAATATTAACAGAAATGGCGACAGAGATGCATGGAATTTGTTTACCATCAGTCAATTGAAGGTTAAACTTTAAAACAATGTTGGTCGTTCCCATGGAATATTTTTGACTTTAATGGTATTAGTCATGATATGAATCTCAAGGTATGAACGAGGAGAGATGAGAGACTTATATGCTTCCCAAATTTCTTCAAAAGGTAATGTTATACCTGACTGTTTCCAAATGAGTTCAATATCATAACGTGAGAAACCTTGAAAGATAACGAAGTCAGTTATGAGACGTTTTATGTTTAAAGCTAAAAACCTCCATGTTTGCATAAGTATTGCTACAGTTAAGTGGTAATGTCTGACTTTAGTAATGATGTTAGCTAATGGTGAGTCAGGCTTTGACACTAAACCTTTACCAGCGAAGTCGTCACAAACTAATAAAGTGTTTGAAGGATATTTTTTGAAGGGGTATTTTGAAAGTTTTGATAGAATGTAGTTTGTAAGTCGTTTCATATCGTAAACTCCTGAGTATTGACGTAAGTGGTGTTTGTCAATAATTCTTTCCATCTCTTCTGAAGTCTTTTGCATTCCTGACTGTATAAATTCAACGATGGCATAATATTTCCTCTTACGTCGAATGTAACGTTGAAGAAATTCAATGAGTTCGCTATCTGGAACTTTAACGACCGAGGCTTGAACTTTTGACATAAATGTTTTCGCTGTTGAGTCCATAGAGTCTGAAGTTGCTGATATAATGATTTGGTCATAATATGAATCTTGACCTAAACGCTCTGTTATGAGTATATGACGAATGAGGTTAAATGTCTTTCCTGACCCCATCTTTCCACAATAGAAATAAACACCATTTGAACAGAACTCATAGTCCTTACTGAAAGGAAGAATGAGAGAAGAGTTAAGTTTGTCTGTAGTTTCATTCATGTCTTCATCTACGTCATGTATTAAATGCTTCATTTTATCTCCATTAAAAATGCAAGTCAGAAATATTCAGAACATAGCACCGAGTCTAACTGACAAGAGTATAAAGATATACTATGAACACGTTATGATGAAACCTACCAAAATTCAAGAAAGTCAGTATACTTATGAATATCCAAGACACTGGGTAGAGTATGTAGGAGGTGAGAAAGCTATTGAAATAAGACAGGTTCGAAGTATTCCAGCAGGAAGGACAATATTATTGAAGAACTTTAATGTTTTGAGATATAATGATGAAACAAAGAAGCAAGATAGTTTTCCTATTGCTGTGTATGTGAACCTAGACACAGGAGATGACATGAAAGTTTTTAACACAAAGCTTCAAACGGTAGTGAGAGAACAACTGACTGCGGAAGGACACCCATTACCTTCAGAAGTTAGCATAGCATATAATTTTGAAACAAACTCAATAGATTTTAAAGTCGTCTCTGCAAAGAAGTCAGGTTTTACATTTAATGAAGCAGATGTATATTCGAATGAAAACTTCAAAGCTATTGCATGGTTAGATAATGACGATTGCTTTAAGAAAATCTTTAAATACAGTGACTCAACGATGTCAATAGATGACCTTCGTGGAATGTTACCATCGACGTTTACAGTAGAAGGTTCAGCAGGATTGCTTACAAGATTGTCAATTGGTGGTATTTGGTCTCGTGAGAACATTGTTATAAAATCCAGTATAAGTGAATTTGCTGAAGAATCTATATTATGTCTTTCAAACTACATGTATTCGCCGCCGAAGCATTATAGTATAACAAACTTTGTCAGTAAGTTTAACATAAGACTTGTCGAACCTTCTTCAATGAAAGATGTTGTGCTACCTAAAGATGGAAAGGATGGACTCATTATTGAAATGATTTTAATAGCATATTAAATGAGCTTGTTCTTGAAGGTCATTCATGATGAAATAACTGTTGTAGAAGATGTTAGCAATTGTTCAGACATTTTGAAGCGAATAGATGATATAAGAAAGAAGTTTATGAAGCCGCAACGCGGCGAGGACGAAGTCCATGAGAATGTTTATGTTTCATTGACTTTCTCCAGTAACGAGAACTTTTATGAGATAATATTGAAGAGAGATGATTTTAATATGGTGTAAATGGTAGCTTGGGCAGCTTTAGGCGCAATGGGAACAAAAGCATTAGCATTTGGAGCAAAAGCACTTGGAGCTTATGACGCAGTAAATAAAATGAGTGGAGGAAGAGTTTCGAAGACATTAGATGCAAATAAAGGGAAGATTGGAGGCTGGGTTGCAAAGAAGTTAAGATTAAATAAAATAGGGCTCATAAATAAAGCATCCAATTTGGTTGCGACTGAGTCAGAAAATGCTTTAGGAAAGGACGATGAGTTTGCAAAACATGCAAAAGACTTTAATGACCAGATGAAAGGTGAAACAATGCATTTAAATAGAGTCGATGGAACTCTTCCTCCACCAGTAGTTCTTCCGTATGGTCCCTATGGAATGTATGGAAACCCTTACGAAAGACCATTTGACCCATTGACTGGTGGAAGTAACTGGTATCATTACGGACGAAGAAGAAAGACAGTTAAGCTGGAGACAGACGTGAAGAAAGCAACTAAAAAGAAACCAAGGAAGAGAGTTATAAAGCAATGAGAACGTTTATGTTATGAGAAATTTTTAACGTTAGTTTTATTTTTACTGAAAATTTTTATTTGGATGTAATGACGAAAACTATTGAAATAACAAACTACAACGGTCATGAGTTCAAGAATTTGTTCTTCGTTCCTCGTGAAAATACATTCTATCAGATACGAGGGAGAAAGGGTAAAGTTAGTTTGAGCGTTTATGATAGCAAACATAATGGAAGATATATACAAGCAGTAGATACAAACGGTAAGCGTGTTTCATTAGCTTTGTCAAAACTTACTAACATTAATTATGACAGTGACTTTGACTCAGACGATTGGAGCGACAGTAGTGATACTGAAGAATATGAACTATTATGTGAAGCACAACAATGGAAAGAGTTGCAATACTTTTGTAAATGAGAACGTTAGTGTGTACGTTAGTGAGAACGTTAGTGAGAACGTTAGTGAGAACGTTTATTTTTTCATGCACGTGCATTGTGTCGCGGGGAGTTGTCATGGGCAATGACCTGCGCACAATATATAACGTACAGAGAGGTGAGATGAGGTGGTTTATGTGATAAATACTTTACGTGGCAGAAATAGTTTAAGGTTATTAGAAATATTGCATCTGCGATGTAAAATATACGTTAGTGGTTTTGTAAAGTGTCAGGTTGACATATCTTCGGTAAGATGGCGCGCAGTGCCACCGTACTGAAGATATGTATACTAACTATGTATGCAGCGTTAAGGTCGACATAGTATATCTTTTCGTTTGAGTCGAACTTGTCGCAACCAATTGGTCCAGTTTGTGGAAATTCAAGTGAGTCTCTTATCTTCTGAGAAACTTCTCCTGTTATCTCATAAACATCGTCGAAGCAACCTGTTTCATATAAAACCTTCTGACCTAACTCAGATGCTCTCCAATACAATTTGACGTCAATTGGATGTCTCAATGGAAGTTTGTTTATAGCATCTTGAAGTTCTTGCAACCTCATTGGAAGTTCTTCTGGTTCAGGTTGGTATCCGAACATACCAACCCCTTGTGGAACTGTGTACTTCTTTTGTACTAGAACTTTGTCCGGAACAACTTTTGGTCTTGCTAACAATGAAAAGCTTGTTTCGTCTTTTGGTACAAAAGTTTCTGTCAGCTTGTCATCTGGAATTGGTTCCAACAAACCTTTCTCGAAAAGAATGTTTACAGCTCTGACAATGTTGCACTTACTTTTACCAAAGAATGGGTTTGTAAGACTTTCGTTCAACATGAAGTGGTTGTGGACAATTACAATCTTCAACCATGGTAAATTGAACTCAACAACATAGTCGTCATGTGAAGAACCTTTAGCTGTAGGTATGTTGACTCGGATATTGACATTTGCCAACGGTGCAATTTTTGCCAATTGACCTCTGAGAATGTACCTTGTCTTCACACATGACTCAAGATACTTCATCTTCTCATCTGTAACAAGACCAGAGTTCCTGAGACATGTAAGAATGCAAGGTTCATTGACAATTGTTTCAATTGAATTGTAAATTCCATACCTTGTCAAGTCAATGTCAGACTTATTTATGAACGGGAAGTATCCAGCATGTTGTCTCACTACTTGAGGGTTAGGTTGGTACCATTCGAACTTGACACTTGCAATTCCTTCAATTGCATTCAAAATGTCTGAGTCGGAGTCAACCATTTGTTCTCTCTTTGTAGTCTTGAAAGCGTCAAGAAGTTTTGCGGCTGTTTGTTCATTGCCATGTGCATAGTAAATGTGACCATCCAAATCTGTTATGGTCAATCTGAGATTGTGTCCTTTCTTATTTCCGTCTTGAATTGCAGCAAGTACTCCCATGAAGCCTTCTTTGTTCTTTCCTTCGTCAAAGTTTACTGTAAAGGTTCGACCAGATGTAATTTGACTTCTAACTTCACGATACTTTTCATATGCATATCTTGTTCTTTCCATGGGAGCATGTGTGTCTTCACCTTTTCCTTTTTTCCTTCTCAAAGGATGCAATTGTTCGTCATGTTTCCAGTAGAATCTGGCAAAGCCGTCGTGTCCTTCAACTTGAGGTTCACTAACATCGAAAGGCATGTCCATAAGACGTTCTTCTTCTAACCTCTCTAGTCTGTTTGGATAATTGGCACGTGCTGTTTCCAAATCCATTTCGTAGCGAAGACCAGACAATTTGTCATAGACTTTTATGGGTCTTCCCTTCCTATATTTAAAATTCTTCGAAACTCTCCAACCATATCTTTGTAACTCTGCTTTTATTCTAGCAGACTTTCTATCCATTCTATATGGGGGCATTTTTATAAAAATAAAAAAATATTTTTTTTCTTTACTTAACATAACCGCCTGCTGCCATAAGTCTTTGACGCCAACCCATACCAGCTAATGAAGGTTGACTTGGTTTAGTTTCCAAACTAAACTTTGGTTTTGGTTTATCTTCAGTTTTTGGTTTTTCTTCTTCTATCGGTTTTTCGTCACTTTTCGGTTCCTCTGACTTTACTTCACTTGCAGGAACAGTTGTGTCGTCAACATCTTCATAAATATCATATGCCATTTGTTTTTGTTTTCCTTTCAACTTTTTGTGTTTGTTGTAAAGTTTAGAATATTTCGACTCTAAGTCAATGAGATGTTCTATAATGAACTGTTGGTCAGTGAAGTAAACTTTTCCATCTGTTGTCTCGAAAGCTCCTTCAGACTTCAATATTTTATTTGTGAGAGTCTGTTTCTTTTTTGAGATACTAGCCGTTCCATTTTTATGAAAAGTGACTTTATAGTTAGGGTTTGTATTTCCAGACCTGGCACTTTCTATTATTGAATTTTTCTCTTCATCTGTAAGTTCTTTGACAGGTTTTGACAATGGTTCTGAACTTTTTGTTTGTGGTGTCAAATCTACCGTTTCAACTTCTTCGGTCATTTCATCTCAGTAAAAAATTTTAGTTTGGTTTGTTTTCAACTGGTTGTTTAGGTTTTTTAAGTCGGTCTAAAACTTCCTGAGGTATAGGAAGAACTTGACAAACACGTGGTGTAACTGCTGGAAGCCGACAAATCCATCTTGAACTTATTTGTCTCAATGCTGCATTGTTCATTTCATCTCAATAAAAAACTTTACATTCCCCACGTTTGAGGCGGTTGAGGTTGGTTATTGTTTACCCACTGTTGTGCATGGTTATATCCTCTGTTAAAGAATCTTTCACCTTGGTCCATATAGTGTCCTGCTTGGTTATAGTAGTCATTTGCTTTGTTATAATAGTTTCCTGCTTGTCTTCCTACATTGTCCATCCATCCTTGAACTTTTCCTCTTGTTTCAGGATTTGGAATAAGATTTGTTGCATCTCGTGCTACATCCCAACCTTTCTGTACAGTTTGTATAATAGGTTGTGCTTTCTCTTTAAGTATACCTAATGTACTCAAAATCTTCCTTCCAACTCCAAATACACCTCTGGCTATTGTTTCCCACTGCGGGCAAAAATCTGGATGCAACTCCTGCTAATGCGCCAAATAAACCCATTTCTTATGGGTTAAAAAATGACGAATCCAAACAAGGACCCCTATGTTTCTAAGGCAACAAAAAAAGCACTCATGATAAAAATCTTTAGTTCAACACCAAATGCTTGGTTTATGGATATCTTGGAAAACATTCCGAGAGTTAGAACAGATGGACCTCCATACTGGTTAATATTTGTTGGTCAAAACACAAGATACTGTGAAGCCATACCATTATGGTCCAAAAATATTTTAGATGTGAAAACTGCTTTGACAATATTCGTTGACAAATACCATCCAACAAAACTGACATCTGACTGTGAAAGTTCTTTCAAATCAGATGATATTAAAAACTATCTGCGTTCAAAAAATGTAAACCAATATTTCATTGTCGACCAAAACCATTCTGCTCTTGGTGTCATTGACGGTTGTATAAAAATGTTAAGAGACTTAAACCAACCACAAGGTGGTGAAGCAAATGAAATGTCATATGACGACAAATATAGACACTTCTCCATGGCAAAGATGAGACAAGTTTTAAATATTTACAATAACCGTAAACAAAAAGGTTTGGGAAACCACTCCCCCGAAGAAATGAAAAACAACCCTGACTTAGAGAAAGACTATATATTTAATAATTTAGTCAAAAGAGACAAACAAGAAAGAATGCCGGGCTTCAAACTTCAGAAAGGTGACAAAGTAAAAATAGAAATACCTAAACGCGACCCATATGAAAATACTATTGACTATGACAACAATGGGAACCCGACAGGTACTCACATTCGTGTTCGTAAAAATAGAAGAAAGTATACAAGAGAATATTATGAAGTTTTAGGCAAACATGGCAAAATGTACACACTGCAAGCAGAAGATAAAACTACTATTGTCAGACCTCGTTTCAAACTTGTCAAAGTTCAAGGTGGTATACTTTCAAAGACAGTTCCTAACAAATATAAGACAACTCCTGACGAATATGCTAAAGAAGTTGAAAATGACGACTAAGCAATTCTATACCATGCGTAAACTGTCATGTAAGGTGGCATGTATTCTTTACTTTGTCCCGTTGTTTGCGTATATCCTGAAACGAAATGTGTATGGTTTCCTTCTCCCTGAGTGTCACTCCAGTAACAATTTATAGCAAACTTAACGTCGTCTTTAACATCATATCCTTTACCTTTTGTCATTCCTGACCAATCCCAATATCTATGCTTATGCCAACCTGCTTGAGATGTACTTAAATCTATGTAATGACTGTGTGCAGGTAAATTTTCACCTGAAATCGTTTTACTTCCACCTGTTTCCTTTGAAGAGTTTGCACAATACAAAAACCTGTCGACTATTTGTTCCCATGCACCAACACCAAACATTACTTGAGGACCTCTTGCATCCATAGATGTATAAATAGAACCTACTGGGTTCATTAAATCAAACATATGAGATATTATAGGATTGTCTCTTTTGAACTTAAAATATAGTGCAACTATTTCAGGTTTCTTCTGGTTTGTGTCAGAATATTTTTTATAATATAATCTTATGTTTTCAGGGTAGGTAAATCTTGACTATAATATTTATTTCTGTCATCTGTATAATAATATACTATTCTCGTTTTTTCTATTGCATTATATCTTTTATATCTATAATAATCTAAATATAATGTTAGCTTTTGTTCATCTACATGTGGTGTTCTGACGTCATCTCCATAGTCATAATAATATGGTGCTGGAGCTGGGTCAGGCAATGTCATATCTGTCATTTCATAAACTCTTAAATATTTCTTTTGTTCGTCTCCATATAAGTTTAAGTAGCAGTTGTTGTCTAATGGAACTTTAACTTGTGTACCATCATTCTTTTTATAGCTTACATACATTTCATTGTTATTTTTTCGGAATGAGTTTATACCGTGTACCATTTTTTAAGGACTGTACCAACTGCCATCTAAAATATTTATTTTCTTCATTGACAGAAAAGTCACCAACAATAGTTTCAATATTTTTTGTTCCTATCAAACTTTGGTATATTTCATTGACATATGTTTTATCTGCTTTATTTTCAAGGCTAACGTTTAAGTCTGTTATTTCAGAAGATGTATGTGTATGTCCAACGGCACTTTTCCTGTTTAAGGTTTCTTGTAAGTTTGTAATATCAGATATAGAATGTGTATGAGTCTTATTTGCTTTTGTCTCTAATGTTTCCTTAAGACTTGGTATTTGGTTAATATAATGTATATGAGTCTTTTTAGAATATTCGTTTTCAGCTCTTGTCACTTCACTTGACATTTTATTGTCAACATATGTTTTGTCTGCTAGTTCAGGATGAGTATGTTCTTTTGTTGCATAAGCATTGTTAGCTCTTTCTTCTTCTTTTGCTATTGCATCGTCTACATATTCTTTGTCAGCCTTGTTGTCAACATCTGCTTTCAAAAGAAGTTCATTTATAGGTTTCTCGTTTAAAGTTCCTTTTGTTGGATTTATACAGACAGTATTGTTCTTCTTGTCTTGAAACAGAAACTCATCTGTCATTGGGTTTAATGTCAGTTTTAAGTTTCCTTCTTTCAATGACTCAGATATCTTAGAATAGTTTGAAAAGTTTGTTGTGTTCTTATTTAGAGCTTGCATAATGAGTTGTCGGTTGTGTTGTATTTCTCTCATAGACGCTGTTTCATTTGACATTTTTATTATAGATAAAATATGCTTCCAATAGAAAAAGAAAATTCTAGAGTTGCTACAACTAAACCATTAGATGAACTTTTTACTAATGTCGGTCAAAAGTTTGAGACAGAT